CCCTGAGGACATTATCGTAGCTTCCCAAGAGCTCATAGACACTTAAAGGCAGATAAACATTAAATTTAATAAGGTAAGTACTGTAATATGGGTGTGCATATTGAGAAAGGGCACTGTTTTGTGTGGAAGTTTCCTAGAGGACTTGAAGCTTGAATGTATTGTAAAGCATTAGTAATTAAGAGACAAAAAAATCTCATGTTTGGTTCACTCTCATTCATTGAAAGATTTAGCACCAAGATCACTGTTTTTCCTATACGTACCTGTTTACCACTTTTGTTAGTGATCCCAGCATTATTGTGTATAATTAACCTGTCCTTTAAGTTTCTTAATATCCTCCCTTCTAATCAGATTTTGTTTCATTTACCTCACCCACTTCCTCCTATTGGTTGTGCTCTACTCTACATTTTCTTTCATTCTCATTCTGCCCATCACAACTGACCTTTTCATTTTTCTATCTTCTATTTCCACACTGTCCTCCTTAAATAATTTAGATTATACAGTCACTCCATCACAAACACCTTTAATTCCATAGCCCTTAACCTGTTTAAACTTGGCAAAACCTAGTTCTCCTCTCCTATCCCCTGCCACCTCCACCCTCAGCTGAATATTGTTGGAGAAAAATCATACAGTCATTTTGACTGACTGTCTGACTTTAAATTCTTGGTCATAAATCTCAAATGGCACTCAGCTTCAGAATGTTTGCTTTTCCACTCTCAAAAATTACTCATTTCAGAATTTTATTTTAACATGTAATTCAAAACATATTCTGCCCCAATAAACTTAGCTAAGCATCTTGCCTCATACATCATTAAGGAAATTGGACCAATCTGTATAGAACTCTTTATCTTTTTACCTTCAGCTCTCCCAACATTTCTGCTTTGTACTCAACCTCTCAGTCAACTTTTTTGTTGTATTGGAAGTGACACTCTTTCTGTCAAAGGCTAATTCTTTTCCCTGTACATTGGATCTTGTCTCTTCTCACCTGTTTAAGGCCTTTATATATCTTCACTTAAATACAGTAGTTCCCCCTTAACTGTGGATTTGCTTTCCACAGTTTCAGTTACCTGTGGTCAACTGCAGTTTAAAAATAGCAAATGGAAGATTCCAGAAATAATTCATAAGTTTTAAATTGTACACTGTTTGAGTAGTGTGATGAAATCTCATGCCATCCCACTGGAAATGTGAATTATCCCCTTGTTTAATGTATCCACATTGTATAAGCTACCTGCCTGTTAGTCATTTAGTAGCCATCCTGGTTATTAGATAGTTTGAGAGAGGGTGAAAGAGAGAAACCACGTTCACTTAACTTTTATTATAGTACATTATTATAACATCTATTTTATTATTAGTTATTGTTCGTCTTTTACTAGGCCTAATCTATAAATTAAACTATCGTAGGTATGTACATATAGGGAAGAAAGTATGCACAGGGTTCAGTAATATCTGCAGTTTCAGGTATCATTTGGGGGTCTTAGTATGTATCCTCCAAAGATAAGGGGGAACTACTGTATTTACTTTGTCTCTTACTATTGTCTCCTCAGTCTGCCATAGTTAAGCTTCTGTTTCTGCCATCC